CTCATTATGATTATAGTATAATGGGCACCAACACCCTATTCTAATTATTAAAGCCCCTACATTAGGACTTTGGGAAGTCAAGGTTTTGGGTCTGGCGCATTGGGAGTAGGGCGGGTTACAGCTTGGATCCCCCCCCCCACGAAAGCTTGAAAATTACAGCACCGTGGCGTCCCGAAACGCCAAACCGGGAAACTTAAATTCCAATATTTTTTTGGGGGACTATAACCAATGTATAATATACCCCAAAAAGCTTATTCTAATTATTAAGGCTTCTACGATGGAATAGATTCACGCACGATGAGACCCAAAGTCTAAACTCCAAGCTCTCAGCCCGACGTCAAAGATGCAAGGGCGCGAGCTCTGGACAGCTGCATCGCTGGAAGCCGCAGGCGGGCACTTGGGGCTTCAGGGATTTTGAATTTGGGTTTGGGGTTTAGGGTTTAGGGTTTAGGATTTTCGATTTAGGGTTGTTGGGGTTTCGGAATTAGGCCAAGTTACCTAGCGTCGACGTGGCCTTACCTACCGTCTTGACCATCTTCACAATCATACTAGCGTGCTGAAAGGTGGCGAGATTGGTCTACTTGGGGGTAGTGATGAGGGCGATGCTCACAAAACAGAACACCGTACTTTTGGCAGTACCCCCTCGTACCCTACTAATCGTCCTGATATTGTTTCGTCGGCGTAGTAGCAGCTGCAGAAGTCACAATCATAGTTTTGCAGATGTTTATGTCCATGCGTCTTGCTGAACTTTATCAACACTACCAAGCTGAACAACAACACGAGCTTGGAACCTGTGGTTGGCTAGGACAATATTAATTTAGAGATGTGTTTGGGCTTTGCTCTCGTGAAACAGCTGCGGAATGAAGCAACTACGCTGTGACGACTCAGTACGATAGTGTGCCAAAACTGCATGGATCCCAGCCAATCTTCATGATGACAGTGATGCCTAACGCTGTTGACGACGGTGGTAGGTTTTGCATGCGAGGATTGCTATGGACCCTGTTTAAACCCTAAATCTGTTTCTGTGTGAGGATATCTCCAACACTCTGTGGGCTTTGGCTGCAGCAGCCTCAGCGAGCCTGCTTGAGGGTTTAGGGTTTAGGGTTTCACTACAAGTTTCACTACAAGGCATTTCTGAATGGCTTTGCTTCCACCTGCATGCACGTGTCAAAGGTCGGTAGTCTGGAAGCCATGGTTCGTTTATGTTTTTTGTATGGGGCTTCGGTGTGGTGGGATAGGTGCTTATGGTGTACAGTATGTCACCCATGGTGTCGATGGCAAGATGTAGTCCGAAGCCACACGCTGTAACTGGTCCCCTCTTCATGCAATGCCATAATGCCTGGACGTCTTGCCCTGAACCCTAAACCGAAGCAG